GTGTAAATGTTTATTGGCAAAAAGCAAAAAACACGTATTTCTTCATTTTTTGTGAGCAATCATATGGCGTAAGTGGAACTTAAGTAGGAGTGCTTATTTAATAGATATTAGAACAAAATGTCGCCTGAAGGGTAGTTCACCCCCTTGGGGGGGTGTAGCATTGCTGGACAATATTGTGTTTTCACCATCCTTATACAGAATACGTTTATACCAAGTTTCGTCGAAATCCCTCCATTGCTTCTACGAAAATTGTTATAAAAATCGAATTCTCGCCAAACTTTGGAGGGTTGTTTCACCCCTTAAATGTGGACCATTGCAGATATAAAAAAACACGTATCTCTTAGATTTTTGTGTTCTTCGACATATATGAAAATCAATAAGATCGGGGGCGGACACTTGGGAATGTTTCCTTGTTAGTAACGCGTAAGACATTTTCTTTGCCTTTATCCTGTTCAAATGCGAGTTTCTCGATTACCAGAGTGTTCTAAATTGCCGTAAAATTGTCCTGACCCTTTCGTTTTTCATATAGAGCCTTCAGTAATTGTATATCGATCGAAATATGACAGCTCGATGTCATTTTGGTTCTGATCTGTGCCGTTGAAAACTTTTTTTCGAAAATCCAAATTTGGTGGTTCAGTTGAATGATGTAGGGGGGGTGTTTCATTGCACCTTAAAGTGAAGTGAAACACATCCCAAATTAGTCGATTCGAATAAGACACTTTTTTTAAGAATATTTGACCGAACTGTCCGAAACTTCGACAAGTGACTCGTGAACACCTACAATCCTGACACTTTCAGAATTTGGATTTTTGTTTTTTTAATTTTTTACATAGCCTAGAACAGAACCAAAATGGCGCCGAGTTCTCATATTTCGATCGACATACAAATATTGGAGGCTCTGATATGAGAAACGAAAGTGACAGAACAATTGTGCAACGATGTACAACACTCTACCCTAGTAGCACAGAATAATTGCTAAATAATTTTTTGCAATCCCTGTTATATATCTCAAGCGACAGATTTTTTATGTCTTACAAATTTAATTTCAAGATATTTGAAATATTTGCTGAAAATCTCAATAGCACGTTGAATTTTTATAATATATAAACATACTTCAAAATTATGTTATTTAATTTATAAACATATAATAAAAATACATTTTTTACTGTACGATTATTATCGGACACTTCATTTGGTATCAAAACACACGACAGACTTTTGCAATATTTTCATTTCGTTCTTTCATTATCATAGTAAAGTGTATGATCTTGATTTTAAATATTTTTAAAACGTTTATAATGTATTCGGCAGATAATATTGAAAAAATCTTCATTTACTAAAGCGCTGTTTTCGTGCATATATATGTATGTGTGTGTGTGGGTGGGTGTGTCACGAAACAAAGGTAACGCTTTTTTGGCGGGTTCCGGTTCTAATTTTGAAAATCGCCGATACATGTCCCCCCTAAAACGGGGTCGAGGATGTCAAAAGTTTCACCAGATCAATAAAATTCCAAATTGCATGATCGAGATTCGGCGATTGATTTATCAAACTCGACGCATTTGAGCCACTGCAAAGAGGGGTATATCTAGTACTTATATTAAAATGAAACGAAATGATTTGTATATCTATCAGAAAAAATTGTTACGAAAACACGTGGAGCTAATAATATATAAATATTATAAAAACAATATTCTAAAGTAAATGTTCTGTAAGTATTTCAAACGTCAGCTAAATATTTACAAAATGCATGATATTCGTTAAATATATAGAAAATACAAGACAAATATTTTGTGCTACTAGAGTAGTAATCGAGAAATTCGCATTCGAATGGGATAAAGGCAAAAAAGTGTCTTACGAATTTTTCTGTTAAAAAGAAGATAACACGAGGTCTCGGAGAGAATTTAGTTGCCACCGAAACCACAGATGGCGCAGGGTGTCCCTCTGCAGTCAATTAGATCATCAAAAACGATGAATCTAGGGGATTTCTGGAGTTTTATTTCGACTTCTTTATAATTATTGCACGGAAACGACATATGGATAACGCCATTTAGTACAATGCCTAATTAAATTCGACACCGCTGTCAAGATAAATACGAACGTCGGCAACGTAGGTATTTAGAAGAATCTTTTTTACCAACGTCGGTCAAACTTCTCAACGTGTTCCATTTCATCTTAAAGCGACGAACTTACATTGCCATTGACGGCAAACTTCTGATTTCCAAAGGGAAACTCTGACTGTCGGTTGCGTGCCAATGGAGGACGTTCATCTTGGTGGATGCGAGGCCGTCGACGATTTTCAAAATATTCTCCACTGATATGAAATTCCTTGCAGAATCGATTAACAGGCCGCGATGCTGAAACACCGGCGCGTCTATGATCGCTGCGTAATCCAACATCACAAGATATCGATTCCCGTCGTTTAGGTTGACAGTCGCTGTCAATTGTGACAGAGTTTCCAGAGCATGACGCGCCCCGTAGGCTGTTGAGGCTGCGATGTTCACCGTTATCTGTTCCTCTAAAAAACGTCAACTAGGAATTATCACAATTTTCTACTACAAAAACACCCCACACAACACGGTAGGTACAATATACGTATATTAGATACACAGGATGTAACAACAATGATGGACACGGTTTATTCAGCGCTATCCTTGTCGGAATAGGAGTCGATAAGTCCTGTACTAATTTTTCATACAGTGCATGATTTTCCTGTAATAACTAATCAAAAACACCTTCTTCAGGTGTAAAAAAACTTCGCCAAATATATATATGTGCTCGTCACTAGTCCTTTCTGTTATAATCTCGGTTACATTATGTTAATACGGTCACGANGGTGGAAGTCATCGTCCCCACTTTGGTGGTGAACGCCGTTAACGACACTTTCACTTCAATTTACATCACGATTTTATTGCGAAATTGCAACTAAGAAGACTTTGGGGGAATATCCTGGTCCCAATCGTTTCTATATTCAACATTAAAACTAGCCAATTACAAGCGAGATCCGGGCGACCACGCCCCCCTCCCCCACTCGTTCTCTGGCGCCACATTGTGATTGGTCCATTCCTATCCTGAATATCTCGGAAACTACTCATCGTTCAGAATTTTTGCAAAGGAGACTTTTCCTTCGTGCTCCAAGAAACACTGGGTGACAAGGAAAAAACCAGCCTTCCGCCATTTTTTCGGATGTTTATGGCTACTCCAACCGTGTATAGTGAACCCGATTTATCATAAACATTGTCCTTCATTCTGTGCACACCATTCTGGAGCCAGGGCTTCTGTGTGGATGCCATGAACTTCTAGTCTTCTTCGGTGCGCCTCGAGTCTTGGTTCTGCATCTGCAGTGGTCATTCTGGAAGGATCCGACCAGAGTCTCTCGCCAACTGCAGCAGCTCTCGGCCAGATTCGCGGATCAAAGCTGTTGTCTTCGATGTACTCGCCCCATATGCACGCCTCGCCCCCGAGGACTCCATCCTGAAAGCGTTCGTTTACCTTTTATTCAGAGTAATAGAGTGATGACAGATGAACGAAGTCGGCGCAAATTAGTTCCCCGATTTTCATAGATTCAAACGAATATGAATCGAGAGCGACAGATGGACGCCCTTAAAGAGGAGACCTCTAAAACATCAAAAAAAGGGAGACGAGCGCCTTGACCATGGGGTTCTATGGCGATCCTCTACCCTCGGTGGAGAAGTTATGACGGCGCGAAGGGTCGCGCAATTCGAGTGCAGGTACGCTCGCACCGTTAGCGCGGTAGAAATTGTTTATTCGTTCATCTAGATCTAATTCTAAATTTACGCTACGGTATTGGATCGATCTAGGACGATCCAAAAACTAAGTAAGAGTCGGAAGTTTTGGAAACCGAAGCGGCTAATGAGTCATCGCCGACGGTCTCGGAGTGACCCATCAGGTAATCACTAACAATAACCCTAGTGCCGCTAGCACAATTCTTAATCATAAAACGACGGAACAAGGCATGACCCTACTTACAAGGAAACATTCCCAAGTGTCCGCCCCCGATCTTATTGATTTTCATATATGTTGAAGAACACAAAAATCTAAGAGGCACGTGTTTTTTTATATCTGCAATGGTCCACATTTAAGGGGTGAAACAACCCCCCAAAGTTTGGCGAAAATTCGATTTTTATAACAATTTTCGTAGAAGCAATGGAGGGATTTCGACGAAATTTGGTATAAACGTACTCCGTATAAGGACGGTGAAAACACAATATTGTCCAGAAATGCTACACCCCCCCAAGGGGGTTAACTACCCTTCAAGCGACATTTTTTTGTAATATCTATTAAACAAGCATCCCTACTTAAGTCCTACTTACGCGATGTGATTGCTCACAAAAAATGAAGAAATACGTGTTTTTTGCTTTTTGCCAATAAACATTTACACATCGGTTGTAAACAATGAATGTAGGTGGTGTACGGGGATATTNGCGTAAGTGGAACTTAAGTAGGAGTGCTTGTTTAATAGATATTAGAAAAAAATGTCGCCTGAAGGGTAATTCACCCCCATGAGGGGTTGTAGCATTGCTGGACAATATTGTGTTTTCACCATCCTCATACAGAATACGTTTGTACCAAGTTTCGTCGAAATCCCTTCATTGCTTCTACGAAAATTGTTATAAAAATCGAATTTTCGCCAAACTTTGGGGGGTTGTTTCACCCCTTAAATGTGGACCATTGCAGATATAAAAAAACACGTATCTCTTAGATTTTTGTGTTCTTCAACATATATGAAAATCAATAAGATTGGGGGCGGACACTTGGGAATGTTTCCTTGTGAGTCTCTCATGCAGGAAATCATTTCTGTTATAACCTCCCTAAATTAAAACGGAATTGTCCACTCTTAGCACGTTTACATCGGGTCTTACCGACATCCAACCGGTAAACATCCAATATGTTTGTCCCGCATAGGACCCCTTATGAATAGCTATAATTTTCGGACGATAAAATAACTATTGTGTTCCGCTTAAGCAGGTCGAAGACGGTCGTCCAAGCGTCAGGCCCAGATTATTGTTTTATAACCCCCGGACTGCACGGGTCTTATCGCGCTTCCGCCCCGGCCGTATTTGCATGGATTTCCCTTCTTGGGCCTTTTCCGTGACCAATTGTCGAGCGGTCTTCATGGAGGGGCAACCAATAATATCATAGATTTCTTTCTCATCCCTCCCACCAAACGCTCAGAAAAATTCGGCAATACGACTGGAAGAGGAAGGAGGCAGTCGCTTTTCGACAACGAACGTAGATCAAAGCTAGAAACATTTCGAGCATAACACTTTATTTTAGGTGCCTCGTGGTTTATAAGAATGACTCGCAGATTCGTCGACTTAGGGCCTATTCGCCCAGAGTTACAGGTGCTTCGCACGCAGGTTACAGAGTTGAGACAGTTGAATTTGTAGACCAAGTTAAGACCTTCAGAACTTCGCTGGTCAGAGAGCGAGCCCTTCGGAGCTGGCTTCTTTTATACTAAACCGGAGTATTCCTAGATGAGGAGGATGCTTATTGGTGGATTTTTAAGGTTGAGGGGGGTAATGTCTCGTGTGATTGGTTAGGGAACGGGTTGAAGGGGAAACAGATGGAAAAGTCGTCTTTTCCAGAGAATCCCAACGTGTGCCTTTCCCTGGGGCTGTTATCTGGTTTGGAGTGCGGAAGTACGCGGAGAAAATAAGGGGAGGTAAAGTGCCAGGGAGAGCGTTTCGGAGTACGGGACGCGCTGCTTAGAGTTTCTTTCCTAATATTACTTGAAATGAAATGTTAGGTGGTGTAATGGTGCGGACTTCTTTTATACTAAACCGGAGTGTTCCTAGACGAGGAGGATGCTTATTGGTGGATTTTTAAGGTTAAGGGGGGTAATGTCTCGTGTGATTGGTTAGGAAACGGGTTGAAGGGGAAACAGGTGGCAAAGTCGTCTTTTCCAGAGAATCCCAACGTGTGCCATTCCCTGGGGCTGTTATCTGGTTTGGGGTGCGGAAGTACGCGGAGAAAATAAGGGGAGGTAAAGTGCCAGGGAGAGCGTGTCTTTAGGACCGTTTCGGAGCACAGGACGCGCTACTTAGAGTTTTTTTCCTAATATTACTTGAAATGAAATGTTAGGTAGTGTAATGGTATGCAGTTTTGATCCGTGCCTATGAATCGAAAAACTGCATCCTTGGAGGGTTCGAGCCTCACGACTTCTGAGACCGAAATTAATTTAAATTCTGATGTATAAAAGAAAAACAGACTGGCGAGTGAGCGAGGAGAGCGTTTCACTGAGTTCCTACTTATTCTCAAAGGTTACCGCGCATGCTCGAATTGCGCCAAACTAATGGTCGCCGCACCGCTTCGCGCACCTTGAATTTGAACCCGTTACAACTGTCCTCTCGAAGGATTTTACAGTTTCTCGCAGGAAACTTTAACTTCCCTCGCCTCCTAACTCGCGGGGTTTCTTCACAAAATTAATTTTTTACCCATTTGTTCCTGGTTATTACGTGTTTAGTCTAGTTCTATATATATTATTGGTTTGCTCGTGTCTCGCGGAGGCGGAAATACTCGCGTACACGTGTGCACCCGTACCGTCGGGTCCGTCGTGGTTGTGGCCGCCGCCACTTCTTTTCTGGGTCCTTTCGCCCCCGCTCTCCACCGACCGAGGTCCAAGAAATGCCCCCGCTGTACGGCAACCACGGTGGGCCTCGGCTGCTTCGGGATGAACCGTATTGTTTGCACACTGGGGCGTTGTAATATTTTTGTTCGTCCTTCGAGGGTGGTGGGTCAGGTGGGAACTAACAGCAGAGGATCCGCCACGCCGTGGTCTTTGGAATAAACCGGCCTGGGGGAGGTGTTACCTTCCGGGCGAAACTGAGCGAAGAACCCTACTTAGTTGGTTAGATCGTCCCGTGAACTTTCGGCTTCAAACACTTTCTCGGGTACTCTTGCCTTACTTTAGCTTTCCCGTCATGTATTGTTCCGGTGGAGTAGTTCCCAAAGACTGTCATGCTCTCGTTCTGCCACGTTTTATCCATAATAAGTACCGACTCCTGTCCCATTTGTTATCGATGACTACCATACTGTTCTGCTCATGGATTATGGTTTCTGAGTGTCAAATCCCTGTTTCTGTCCTAGAGCGGTCATATGAGTTTCTTCGGGTTATGCAAGGGGCTCCAATAGCCTCCGCAAGTTCCGGGTTCCCCAGGGGGGAAGGATTTGTGACGTGGCAAAATCTTTGCCCGTCACAAGAGGAATTTTCTAAGATCGGAGTGAGGAGGGGTCCCTCTGGCAATCATTAGATTAAGAGTCAATTATCGTAAAACCATATTAAATATGCGATAATCTCGTAGGTGTGCGCGGGCGTGACGCGCATCGGCATGTAATGACGCGTGACATTTAACATTTCAGGCTCACGGAAAGCGCGCGGGGCCTCGAATTTGGGAGTTCTGCTCCTACCCTAATTAGGCGGTCTGGTGACTTATTAAGACAAGGCCTTCATTAAGATAGCAGGCCAGCGTTTGCTAAGAGGTTCCGGAGGATCCGCCAGGAGAACGACAGCGCTGGACGGAAGATCTTCCGGCGGAATCCTCATTGCCAGCGGGACTACCGCACCGGTTACAGCTCACCGACTTCTCGTCCCGTCAGCGGCAGAGCCGCTCTTTCCGCCAAGAGAGTCCCGGAGGGCGCGGTGCCGTTCCGTCCCGAAGGACGCCTTACTGTCCCGAGAGCCGTCAGCGCTACCGTCGTCCGAAGGGAACCATACCTAGTCTCTCGTAAGATCGTGCTGTACCAGTGAGCCGAACGTGCCCAGGAGGTCTATTAACCGCCATTTCCTGTCCGTTCCATGAGCCGAGATCGAACCATTTCTGTTATCGCGATAGTACGTTTCCGCAAGTAGACAACCTGTTATACAGTAGACCTTATGAGGAAACATTCCGAAGTGTCCGCCCCCGATCTTATTGATTTTCATATATGTCGAAGAACACAAAAATCTAAGAGACACGTTTTTTTTATATCTGCAATGGTCCACAATTAAGGGGTGAAACAACCCCCCAAAGTTTAGCGAAAAATCGGATGTTTAAATATTTTTCGTAGGAGCAGTGGAGGGATTTCGACGAAACTTTGCATATACGTATTCTGTATAAGGACGGTGACAACATAATATTGTTCAGCAATGTTGCACCCCCTCAAGGGGGTGAACTACCCTTCAGGTGACAGTTTTTTGTAATATCCATTAAACCAGCACTCCTACTTAAGTTCCTCTTACGCGATGTGATTGCTCGCAAAAAAATTAAGAAATACGTGTTTTTTGCTTTTTACCAATAAACATTTACACATCGGTTGTAAACAATGAATGTAAGTGGTATCAGGGTATATCCCGACTACCTTTATTGGGTTACATCGTGACCAATTCATTGTACATAAGTCGTGTCAACATGGTAATTCTTCAAAATGTCTTAATGTCAAATGTTATAAATAATTGCATGTTATGAAAATCAATGACATTTTGAAGAATTACCACGTTGACACGACTTATGTACGATGAATTGGTCACGATGTAACCCAATAAAGGTAGTCGGGATATACCCTGATACCACTTACATTCATTGTTTACAACCGATGTGTAAATGTTTATTGGTAAAAAGCAAAAAACACGTATTTCTTAATTTTTTTGCGAGCAATCACATCGCGTAAGAGGAACTTAAGTAGGAGTGCTTGTTTAATGGATATTACAAAAGAATGTCACCTGAAGGGTAGTTCACCCCCTTGAGGGTGTGCAACATTGCCGAACAATATTGTGTTGTCACCGTCCTTATACAGAATATGTACATGCAAAGTTTCGTCGAAATCCCTCCACTGCTCTTACGAAAAATATTTAAAAAACCGATTTTTCGCTAAACTTTCGGGGGTTGTTTCCCCCCTTAAATGTGGACCATTGCAGATATAAAAAAAACAGTATCTCTTAGATTTTTGTGTTCTTCAACATATATGAAACTCAATAAGATCGGGGGCGGACACTTGGGAATGTTTCCTTGTTAGTCAAACTTTATCACAAGACCTAAAAGTAAGATTATTTCTATTTCTTTTCATCGCGCGCCGATGCGTGGCGCTCTTGCCAGGGGGCCTTAGAGTGCGATAAGTTCCGTTCCCTCCTCCCTTAGCGAAGGAAGCAGGTGAGTCCTTCCGCGGTTCGCAAGGTACCGGCCTGCTGGATTCGGGTGTGAGTGTTCGGACCGCGGATAATTCAACCGGGTCCTATCCTTTAGGCGGCAGAGAGTCCTATCCAGGGAGTGGCACGACTTCCGTTGGGTTGCGTCGCGCGTTCTTGTACCGAGATTTGTCGGAAGGCGCCCGGTAACTGCGCTACGGTACGGAACGGTTGCGCCGGCCTACGGCACAACCCCTACGTTTCTCGTGCACCCTGGCCCACGCATACGTGGCCACGATCATTTTTCCCCGGCAACTTCCGGCGGAATTCGGACGATAATTTTGGTACGTGAGGGGTACGGTACAATAACCTTGTCGGAAAAATGGAAAGCGAGTTTGACAGAATAAAGCCGGAACCAATGCCCAATTTCTTGGTTAGTCAAGAACGACATAAATTCGACTTCGAAGTCCCTGGTATCTTTTTGATGCCTTGTAATCACTTCGCGAGCGTTTGCTTTGTGAAAAATGTCGTTAATGCATTCGATTTTTCATGTACGATTTTGTCAATTAAAAGTCGTCAAAATTTGATGTATGATTTTGTCATCTAAAAGCGGTTTAAAAGTCCCCCTACCAACATTTAGGGAATCGTCGCTCACTTTTATCCTAAAAGCGCTCAAGAAGTAGCTTAAACGGGGGTATGAATAGGTATTGCTGCTAAAATACGACTTTTATGGCTTCTTTTAAGGATTTTCTATAAAAGTTCAAAAGCGGGATAAGGTAGGGTCGCTTTTAACAGTGCTCTAAAGTCCGTCTTTTAATGTTAAAAGTGAGATATGAGTAAGGAGCATAGTCTCCATGTTCACGTTGCAAAGTTTGAATCCTACATCCAGTTCGGAGAAAAGTTTCATAAACGAAACCTCTTTAAGGGCGCTCACCACTCCAGCGATTTTGCAGGGCCTCACGGGGACAACGATTCCGAACGTATTTCTAAACCGATCGAGCTTAACGAGTGCTCATATCGAAGATGAAATGTTGACCTGTGTTTATATGGGAGCGATTTTCGATAAGTGGTCATTTTCATATAAAAAAGTGCAACGACATAATTTCAATGCCCTTTTA